TGGAGCTGGAAAATATAAAAACTAAATCAAGAAGCTGACTAGCAATTTCAACAGCAGATTGGATCAGGTAAAAAAAAAAAAAGGTAAACTTGAACACAGGCCATTTGAAGTCATTGTCAGATGGACAAAATGCAAATACAATTGAGCTTGGAGGCATAGGTAACAGTGATAAAGCATGTGCTTAAATAAGCAAGATTGAATCCCCAGCACCTACCCCCAAAGTAGAATTAAGAAAAGTGAAGACAGCTGAAGTGACTTATGGGCTACCATCAAGGTGACCCATATGTATTACAGAGGTACCGGAAAAAGAGAAAAAGAGCAGATTTGAATAATTAATGGTAGAAAACTCTCCAAATCTGGGAAAAAACCTGACATACAAATTCAAGAAGCTCAAGAAATTCTAACTAGGATAAACCCAGAGACTCACAATGAGACACATTATAATCAAACTGTCAAAAGTCAAAAACAAAAAGAAAATCTTAAAAGCAACAAGAAAAAAGTGAATTCATTACATATGTAAGAGCTCCCATAAGATTATCACAAGATTTCTCAGCACAAATCTTGCATGCCAAAAGGGCATGAAATAGTACAGTCAAAACACTGACAGAGAAAAACTGTAAATAAGATTACTATATTTATCAAAATTGCCCTTCAAAAGTGAGAAAGAGCCAGGTGTGGTGGCACAGGGCTATAATCCCAGCACTGAAGCTGAAGCAGGATTGCCACGGGTTCCAGGCCAGCCTGGGCTACATAATGAGTCCAAGGTCAGCCTGAACTAAACAGTGAGACCCTGTGCCAAAAAAAAAAAAACAAGCCGGGCGTGGAGGCACATGCCTGACATTTCAGCACTTGGGAGTCTGAAGCAAGAGGATCATCATGAGTTCGAGGCCAGCCTAGGCTACAGAGTGAGTTTAGGGCCAGCCTGAATTACAAAGCGAGGCCCTGCCTCAAAAATAAAAGAGGAAGGAAGCAGGCATGGTAGCACATCCCAGCTATTCAGGAGGGCAAGGCAGGAAGATCACAAATCGAAGGCCAATTTAGCAAGAAATTATCTCCAAATAAATTTTTTAAAGCTGGGAATATAGCTCAGTGGCTCATTGGTGGAGTGCTTGACAGTGTGAGAAGACCCTGCTTTCAATCCCTAGAGTGCAGGGCAAGGAGGGATTAAGACCTTCTTTGAAAAGTAAAACCAGAAGGAAAACCAGACTCAATGCCACACGTCTGTAATCCCAGCACTTTCCCAAGGCAGGGAGAATCCAAAGTTTGAGCCCATTCTGTTTTTTGTTTTTGAGCAAGACCCTGTCTCAAGATACAGTAGAAAAGGGTGCCAATGTAGCTCAGTCCAATGCTCAGTCCCATGAAGGAAAGGCTTGGAAAAGAAAGGGGAAAAGGAAAAGGAAAGAAAAACTACCACATGCTACAACATAGATGAACCTTGAGGACATTATAGTAAGTGACATAAGTCTATCAAAAAAAACCACTATGATTTGATTTACATGAGATATATGAAGTAGTCAAACTCACAAAAACAGAATAGTCTGGGAGTCACCAGAGCCTTTGTGGGAGGGGAAAGTGGGGAAGAATTACTTACTAAATACAGAGTTTCAATTGTGCAAAATGATAACAAAATCCTGGAGAATGGTTGCCCAACAATGTGAATATATGTAACACTACTGAACTATAAACTTAGAAGTGACTAAAAGGGTAGATTTTATGTGTTTCTGATCACAAAAGTTTCTCTTTAAAAAATGATGAAGTGTGAAACAACAAAATACTAAATCAAGAACAAAAGTTCTATAAACACACAAAAATAAAATATGAAAATTTTTTTAAAATAAAATATATATAAACGTACCCTCCACACACTAAGAACTCATTTGAAGCATGTCTGCCTGCAGGTGCCACTGGCATATCATCTAGGGAAAAAGAGAGAAATATAATCAGTTCTGTTACACCACATGCAGATTTGTTCCAAAAGGATTATTATGAATTTAACACTAATTTACTATTTGCTTATGTTTCAATTTCATCCACAGGAAATAGGTGAATACAGAATACTGTGCCAAATTGAATATAAATTGCAACCTTTCATTTCACTGTCCACTTTTTTTGTTTGAGACAGAGTCTCACTTTGTAGTCAGGCTGACCTTGAACTCACTATGAGTTCAAGCTGGCCTCAAACTTGGGGCAATCCTCCATCCTCAGCCTACTTAGTAATGGGATCACAGGCGTGTGCCACCAAACCCAGCCTTCACTGTCCTCTTTTACAAGCAAATTTGAGGTCTTTTTTCAAGATAAATTGCTATTTGCTGCAGTGTTTAGTATTTCTTCACCATTTAACATGTGCAAAAACTGCTATTTTTATCAGGTTCCTTTGCTTGGGTCACTGACGAGCTCTGAGTCTTGTACCCCAATACCATTTTGCCCATGTGGTTTTTGTTTTTTTTTAAAGTTTCCCTGTTTGTATGATTACATGTGTGTGAGAGATCCTTTTGTTATTATTGAGATGGGATCTCACTATGTTGCCCAGACTGGTCTCAAATTTGTAGGCTCAAGTGATTCTCTTCTCTTAGCCTCTCAAGTTGTTTCAAGTACAGGTGCAGGCCATTACACGTACCCTGTAACTTCTGCTGCACAATCTTGCATATGACATATATATCATCGTTATACCAGAACTGACTGTGTAACAAAGCCCAGCTCAATCTAATACTAGAATATTCCACCCTCCTGCATAACTCAGGTCTTAGATGGGTTGCTGAACAAGATATCATGGAAGCTGAGTCTTGTTGGAAACAGTATCATATGCCACAGGCCAACTTTATCTATTCATCTATGTCCTCTGTAGGTAGAGTACTGCACAGCTCAGAACTCAGGGATACCTCCCATGTTACTGTTATACCCACTATATTACACGGCCTTATGTAATTTTATGCAATGTGAAATAGCAGTATTTATCAATTAATATAAATCTTTAAAAATAAAATAAACAATACTGCTAACCTATAGTCAAAGGAAGGAGGCGGGTGTCACAAACATTCCTTTCAATGACTCTAAATGGGAACTGAGAAATGCATTTATTTGGTACATCCTGGGGCCTTGCTCTCATGAAACTTAAATTTTAAAAGTGAAAAGAACCTAATAATGTCAGGTAGTAATAAGCATAAGGGAAATTAAGTCAGGGTAAGAAAACAAAGAATATT